AATTATAACAACTCTTATATCAATTATTTAAAGGTTATTGTTCTTAGTGGTTTACTTTAATTATAATGCACCTTTTATATCAATTACTTAAAGGTTATTGTTCTTAGTAGGTTACTTCTTACAACCCTATATCAATTCGCTTACTTAAAGGTTATTGTTTCAGTAGTCGATCTTTAATTATGTAATCGAACCCCTATACTCAATTTTCATATTGATATAAATACAAAAGTTCGTAATTAGACTATTTAAGTGGGATAATGCTTTGCTTCGACCATATTGTTATCTTTAAAGTGTGTTTGTAATATAAGTAGAAAAGTAACAGATGTTTGGATATTAAAAAAAAGTCTATTAAAAGTACAATAGCTGCAAAAAAAAAAGCTCTGTATGCACTTATAGAAAGCATTAATCGTGAGAAACAAGTTGAATGCAGCCCAAATCTAATTTCTTTCCGCCACGGTTGCAAGTGAAAGACGATCTTCCTGCGTCTAAATCAGACATTATCTGTAAAGGTCATATCTTTTCCGATGTCGATGATTACTAGCTGGTAATCGATTGACACGAGTCTGGAGAAAGCCTTCTATGTCGTGTTCTTTCCTGTCCATAGAACTTTAAGACGTGTCTTTTTTTTCTTGGTAATTGGCTCGAGTTTTCTTGAAACTATTTCGAATTTTTTCCGAGAAATTTATGCTCGAACAAGACAGCAATTTCATGGGATCTGGACAAATCTGTGGTTTCGGTGGAAGAAAGGCCAACGCCAGTTCCACAGATAGTCGAACAAATCTATCTGGATACCAATGGTTATGAGGAAAATCGGAATAAAAAAATTTTAGTGATGTTAAAGTTTATAAATGCGAGGATTTGAATCTAAATCATAATTTTGTGTATCAATGGCATGGTAATGGACTTATTTTGAATTTGATATTTGAATGACAAAATGCAATCTTAGTTGTGGGATGTATGATCAAATATACATTATATAAGGTGTTCCCAAACGAAAAGGAGACTGCAGTTATATGCTGAAATTTTAACAATATATTCCAATTACAGCTCATGGTATCAGTGCAACTATAAATAATCGCTATTGGCATTGATACACTGATCCAGGGCGGTGGAAGGGAGGGGCTGGATTCAGTGTGAAAACTGCTGGCTGCTGACGATCCAGTCTCATCTCGCAGTTTTCAGATTCTCTGACAGATGCTTGGGGCACCCATTGTGCATAAACTTTGCCATAACCAAATCTTTTGTAGTGATGTGCAGTTCCTTGTTATCGACAGTTCAATGTGCTAAATTTTTTTACGGGTGGTGATCCGACGATTCTGCCGTATGAGCTCATCCACAGCCGAAATCGTGGTTATCGGCGAACGCGCACCCACCCGCTGCGCATGGTGAGTCCTTACGTTTACGTAAGTCCCGCCTCATAACGCCGACAATTACTCGAAATATGGCGCACGCGAGACACTGCTCTCCGTACACCTCTTTCGTCCTGCGATAAATTTGTAAAGCATGTTCTCCTTCTGCGTGAAGAAATTGATAACTGGATCTTTAAAGGATCGGAGAATTCCATCATTCAACGAATTGTACCAGAAATGGGGATATTGATGCGAAGCCTTTAACTACGAGGTGCAACTGGGAATATTACCACGCCATCTATCGGCTAGCAATAACTCACCATGATTTGATACCGATACAGCTAAGGTTTCTTTCATTTGTGCACACCTTACACAATTCTAGAATGTTTTTTCTTTAGGCAACTTTTCTCTGCCGGAGATTTTGAACTTCGTTTGTAATACTAATTGTCTAAGAATTGATTTCATAGCATGTGTGTGGAAATTGCTATTGTTTTATAAATCATGTAATTTTATAAATTAAATGTATAGAGAACAATTTTGCTCTGAAATGGAAAAATGCTAATAAACTGAATGAATAAAGGACTAATGTTTGATGGACACAGTAAAAGAACCAACAGCAATACGTAACCGAACGAAGTACAATGCAGTGTTAAAGTAAACCTACTAAGAACAATAACCTTTAAGTAATTGATATAAAGGTTGTTATAATTAAAGTAAACCTACTAAGAACAATAAACTTTAACTGGCGGCTTGATTATAAAGTTTTCCTAGGTGAAAAAATGATATATTTGGAAGGAATTTTAATTCAGGTTGCGTTTTGCCAACCAACAAATAATGCCAAATCAAAATCACGTGACTAAAATGATAAAAGTTTCTTTGGCTTAGTTCTGGCTGTGGGGCCGGGATGGATAAGTCTTGAATTTTTTTTTTTTTTTTGAAACTTATTCACTGATTTTCGGCATTCAAATAGCCTTGCTATAGCGAAAACTTTTAAAAACACTACGTGATTTGATTATTGAAATCTTTATTTCATTTCTATGCAACATTTTGTATCGGTTTATTTATCTACAAAACATATTTTCTATTAGAACGTTTAAATACTACAATATTCGACATTAATTACTTATTGATTTTCAATTCAATCTCCAAACATCTTGACCACGTTTTCCGCTCAAATTTCTCGAATACTTCCTCGCAAGGGTGTCACTTATAAAATACAGGGTTGTTATATTTAAAGTTTGTCTATTCATAAGGCTCTAGAGCCGGTTCTATGGCTTCCAACGAAACACAATTTTCACTAGAATGTAGCACAAGTGATGCATTCCGAGAAAAAGCTAAAATTTCTCCAAGCCATTTGAATAAATCTATGATCTATTTCTAGAGCTATCTGAATCAGCGATATTTAATTTTAACAACAATTGAATGAATTTTCCTTGATTTATTTAATAAAATATCTGCAGAAAATACCTCAGATATACAGCAGATATTTGCCAGGTGCATGTTTTCGGAATATAAGTTACAGTCATAAAATTTTTATGTCCGCTTTTCTGCTTAGAGATATCACAATACTTAAGTGTATGCGCTTTGTAATAAACTTCTTTGCCGTCGGCGGTGTGGCTTAGTTGGTTAAAGCGCCTGTCTAGTAAACAGGGAATTCGAATCTCGACAGTGCCTGAGGCGTTCGCTTTTTAAAAATTAGCACAAATTAAATTCTTCTGGGTGTCAATGATAGAAATAACGGTTATATCTCGAATGTCTTAGGTGGTGTAATCCGTTAAATTCCTGCATCAGCGGAGTAACGTCAAAATCTTTACATTTTATATGCCAATAGTAAGAAACAAATAAAAACATAAGAATTGTTAAATGATCCTGTACATTTTAACCTCAAATTAAGGATATGCCTAGAAGTAGAAGTCTAGAGAGATATTTTGTAGAAACAATGCATCGAATGAGCACATATTGCGTAGCGCTTCATTGCAATCTCTGAGACATTTGTTATGAACATTAATACCATTCTAGAATCATCCGAATCCTTTAAATATGAATCTTCGAAACGCCGCATAAATACAGCTTCAAACAAAATGACTCAGCAACATTATTTTCCTTCACGAAACCCGGGACCACATCGACAACGAAGTTGAAAAGTCAGAGCATTTGATGCCTCTTAAAATGGTTAACTGTCCCACTTCTGATGATGGGTCGTTCTACTTCAACCAAGGAAGGCTTACTGTATAGTCCAACCTATGATCCCACTTTTGGACACAAAATGTACACTTTTATACTCGAAAAGTTTGATAGCATGTTATAGCATTCGATATCCGGGCTTACAATAAACAACAAAAAATATCTAGATGCTCTAAATTCTTTTACAGGCAGTTTTACTAACGTTTTAATACATAAATGTCAGGCGATCTTTACTGTTTATATTTAAAAATATAGCGGTTAATAACTATTAAAGAATGTTTTGTATGTTAAAAAAATCTCGACTGTATTCTAGTCTTTAAAGACTAAATACTTACTGAATCCGTGCTTTTATTTATCTCAAGGCTGCATGGCCTCCTGCTTTTGAATCTGATATTTTTATACTTTTCCTCTGACCCTCACACACGATTCTGGTCGGGATTTTAGCGAGACGCTGAACTGCAGACCAGCACCGAGATAAGGTCATGCCATCATCCACCTTGAACAAAGAAAATTTCAAAACTCTTCTGGAAAGGAAAAAAAAGCTCGAAAGGAAAATTTCCCAACTTTTGTTTCTGAAAGATCAGAAATGAGCTGCAGCAACGAGACCAGGGGCGGCCGAGATAAACGTTATTCCTCGGGGCGCAGCATAAAGGTTTATGGAATTTAGGTTATAAAAAGAGACTCGAAGGCTACAGATATGAGACTCGTGATGTAGGTTGCACGCGAGTGGGGACTCGGGGAGTTTAATCTTAAAATGAAAGCGGACCGCTTTGGAAGAAGGTTATAAACTCGACGAAGTGGTTTGGAAAAAGTTGAAATATCTGACCTAATATGTTTCAACCTTAAATGCGTTATTTTTGACAGTCTGTGTCTGGAAATATTACCAGTTAGTCGTATGCTGTATATCACATATGCAGTTATATTTAATGAAAAAAATCTTGCTTCCATTTTAAAGCATCTTTTTTAAAAAAGACGTATGTTGCCATGTAGCAACTTCATGCGTGATCACTATGATCTCTTTGACCAAGTAGCGAAACAGTTTCAATCTTTGTTTTGATGTTTGGTAACGGAGTCAGCTTTACGGTGTTAGGCTGATTCAATGCGAACTTTGCACCACCACATCAGAGATATTGAATTTAAATATAGCTTTTGTTCTTGCGTAAGAAATACAGACAAAAGGAATTCAATTTTTGATATGAGGGACAGTTCCTCGTAAGGAGAGTTTTAGTCAAATGGAAAAAAATGCTCGAGGAGTACAAGATTACAGGTTTTGAATTAGTGAAAGAAAATTATCCTTGATTACAATATGATAGAGGAAGCGTTCTTTAATTCAGAAAGAAGTATATAGACAAATGGTAATAATTAGGAATCCACATAAATGATTGTGATGCGCACAATGTAGCGGTTTTAATTATGTTAGGATATAATTTAGATGAATTTAAAAAAGTCACTCGGATTTACAACTCAGTTAAAATATAACTCGTCTTCACTTCACTGATTGAAAATGATCGAAATAGTGTTCCAAAATGGCACGATGTCATTTTGGAGCTGGAAATAGTGTCTTGACGTTTGCGACAGCGTTTGCTCTTTGATCTAAAAGTAAAGGTTGCAAAACTGCTAAAAGGCTTACATGTGGAGGCGAAACTTATTTGTTTTCAAATCAAATTTAATTAGCTGCATAATTTAATATTTTAAAGAAACTTTCGACAAATCGTATTACAATGATACTAAGGAATAAAAGTTATCGTTTGAATTGACGAAAATGCCACTTTTTCATCTACTACCTTACCTATTCACTCTTCATAACTTTTTTTTAACAGAAAGAGGAATTATATTCATTCTTATGTAAAACTATCTTGGCTCAAAAATCTGTAGACAATGAAATATAAAAAGCAACAATTGCATTTAAGGGCGCTATTAATAGTAATTAAATCAAGTTCATGTGCAATACTTTTGCTATCAACTAAAGAAAGATGAAAATATTTCAATTCATTGTTTCTAGGGAGAACTAAGGGAACTAAATTGATTTTATCCTACTCTAAACGAAGACATGCTTTGTTTTTAGCTATTTTTTTCACTACTTCTGTGTCACATAAGAAAAATCCAGACATAAATATTAAAATCTTAAATCTGAGGTTATAATATTATCAACAAATAAAGCGATATTTCTTCTTTGTATAACTTCACTCATA